CTCAGGAGCAGATTCTCAATCAGCAGAGGCCTCAGTACATCAAAGCTAAAGTGAACACCTCCCGTCATGAGCAAAAAGTGGAGGAGGCACGCAGATCGCTTCAGAAGAACCAAAATCAGCAGGCCAAGAAGGAGCAGGAGCTGCAGGAGCTGCAGGAGCTAAGGAGCGAGGTGGCTGAGCTGGAGAGGGCCTGGAAGGCCTCTGAGAGACAGATGGAGGAGGAGGAGGCTCAAAGAGGAGCTGGAGTGCAGCTAGAGGAGAGCCAGGTTAAAATTAGTCTTTTGCAAACACAGTCTCCCTGCAAAGACAACATAATTGCAGTGGAAAATAATAATCACTGAAATAAAGTAGAGTGGGACTGAATTTTATCTATTGGGGTTGTATTGAAGTATTGAAGTTGTATTACTGGAAGTAAGAGAAAAGTGTTTATTACGTTTGAAATATGGATATTTTTCTTACAAAAACGCATGGATTCACTACAGGAGGCCTTTATTCACCCCCCCCGAAGCCGTGTGAGGCACGTTTTGTTATGGATGCGCGCACTTTATTTGACGACTTGTGGACTGTTCAACTGCAACACCCGCTGACTACAATGATAGAGCTTGGAATAGCCAGGACAATTTTTAATATAACTCCGACTGGATTCGTCTGAAAGAACAAAGTCATATACACCTAGGATGCTTCGAGGGTGAGTAAAACACAAGCCAATTTTAATTTTTGGGTGAACTAACCCTTTAAACCCATAGATAGACTTCTTGTAAAGTAATATCTGACTATAAATAGGCATGTATTTGCTGTGGGAGAAAACTGTAAAAATAATCTTCGCTTGATTTTTAGCTTTCGTCCTGCCCCGTTCTTTGTGCTGGATGAGGTGGATGCTGCCCTGGACAACACAAATTTTGGCAAGGTAAGACGAGGCTCAATTTTGCTGTTCTGATATTCTCTATCTGTCATGATGGAAAGACATCCGTTTCAATGTAGGTTACAGGATTTTTCCGGATGATGTCCAGAGAGAACTGCCAGATCGTTGTGATCTCCCTGAAGGAGGAGTTCTACTCACCGGCAGACGCTCTTCTTGGAGTCTATTCAATGGTATACACACATCAATCTCATCACTCAAACTCAATTTAGAGACCCCATAAAATCAAAGTTTTGAGTCTAGGTGGTCTATTAGCTTTGAGGTGATTTTATATGGCAGTGAACTCATAAAATATTTTTGGATATTAACCCTTTGACGCGTACAATTACAGCCTACATCTAGGCTGGTCCCTGGAACGTACGATCACACCGGTGTGATTAGAATGTTCAGTGTGTCACGTGATCAACTGCTAAATTCAAATCTACTTTTGCACTTTGGCTGGTGCTGAGCAAGAGACGGACACGCTGATCGCCTGTCATATTATTACAACTATTCAGTATTTTCAACATATAATGCTTATTTTAGGTTTTAGACATCTAAATACACACGAGTTCTAGCAAAACAATACATTTATAGTTTGTAAAATACACACCGATGTCTATGGAAGCGGCAATGATAATCCATTCAATTATAATTTAACAATGTTTTATTGATGTCATATACACATTGTGTAGGTAACTATAAAGTTTAGTCTACTCTTCTCCCAGTTCACCGGAAACTTACTTCAAATGTCTTTCGGGCGGAAAGGATGAATTTACGTGTTGTAAATCCACAGCTCGGATTTTTTATTTATTTTCTTTTCCTCCTTTATTAGGATTAGCAACAAGTATACAAAAATATACAACCCTAGTAACAACAAAATCACAAAACAAAATGAAATAAAAAAAACAAACAAACAAAAAAAAAACATACAGGGCCAGGGGTAATTACATTATATAAAGTAAAGGTGCCTCAAAAGGCACTTTTTAACAACCAGGCAAAAGGTCACAGAGCATTCAGTCAACTGTACATTATAGGAAAGAACCAATATTATAAGATGCACACAATGTTATCGATTTTAAGGCTTTAACATTGCTGGAGGTAGATATTGTTTCCAAGTAATACTTCAGATCTTTACAAAATATAAGAAATAGGGGCTTTACAGACAAAAATTTGCACTTATGTATAAAAAATTTTGCTAGCAAAATAAATAGATTTATTAGAAAATATTTGTCCTTTAGATTCTTATCAACATGATAAAAACCAAATAAAACATCCTTGTACAACAAAGAAAAATTGTCTAAGAGAGAAGAACGTATAAATAAACAGAATTTTTTCCAAAAAATGGTTACATGGGTACATTCCCAAAAGAGATGAGAGACAGACTCATCTACCATTCCACAAAAGGAACAAAGAGGATCCTTCTCCGGAAGCATTTTTTTAATATAAACATTCACAGGGTAAACTCGATGTAGCAATTTAAAGGATACCTCTTTAACCTTGTTCGTAATTAAATATTTATTGGGTAACGACCAAACACTCTTCCAAGGAATAGCATAAAGATAATTACTCCAGTGAAATACAACAGAAGGAACAGTAGTTATATCATTCTGAAAAAGATGTCGAATCTTTCTATTCCTGAAAGAAGGGCTGAGCGCAAAGCAAATTTTCCCTATCACTGTTTCACAGGGATTAGTCAGGGAAATAAAGGAGGGTACAGAATTAACGGAGTTTTTTAATAGTGCAATAGCTCCACTGGGAATGGCGTCCATAACTATGGCAAAATCACGTGGGGTGACAGGAATACAATATTTTCTTAAGAACTCAGAATAAGAAAGTAAATAACCATTACTATTTAAAAGCTGAGAAACCAAAAAAATATTATTTTTAAACCAATCAGGAAAAAATATAGATTTATTTTTATAACAGATATCATGGTTATTCCAGATAAAATAACGGTGGGGACTGAAGTTGTGTTTATATATTAAGTGCCAGGCCAATAGCATCTGCTTGTGGAAGTTTGATAATTTAATAGGTAGTTTAGAAATATTATAATTACATACCAACAAAAAGGGGAGACCACCAACTTTGGAGAAAACATAATTGGGAATAGCATTCCAAAAGGAATCGGGACCATTCAAAAACTGCCTCAACCAATTTATCTTAAATGTATTGTTTAAGGAAGTCAAGAAAATTTAGACCCCCATAATCATAGCTGTTTATAACGACAGATTTTTTGATATAGTGTCTCCTGTGTTTCCAAAGGAAGTCAAAAAGCATTCTATCGACCTCAACACAGATAGACTTATCTACATACAAAGAGAGAGCAGGATAGGTTACTCTCGAAATACCCTCAGCTTTTCCACAGCTCGGATTCCGCGTGAACCAACATGCTGGCGCCCATCACTGGTTATAGATCAACTAACTTGGTCATTATAAAGATGTTTAAACTACCAAATGCATTTACTTGCACGTATTTGAGAATCGGAATATCAGATATTTCATAATATAGTGAACACATTTGTCAATATTTTAAATGAAGGAAAAACTAAATAAAAGCGATGCATGTGTCATACAGCGCTATTGTGACTGTGGTGTGCCACATGACAAACATGACACGTCTCCATGGAAACAGTAAATCGGTACATTCTAAAATAAAAGTGCCCTAAAAAAATCTCACGCTGGGGGCTCATTTAGAATATTTTAAACTCGCGTGTGAAAGGGTTAAAAATGTACAGTGTTTTGACACATTAACAGTGTCAATCAAATCTTACAGTTGTCAGTATTTACAATATTTGTCAAAGATTTGGACACACCTGCTCATTCTACACATTTCCATATTTTGGAATAATAGTGAACTATTAAACTATAATTACCATTCAATTTGCGTTAGTTTATTACCAAAAACGACAAACTACAGCAACAAGACAAATCAAAATACCCAGTATAGTTCAAAAGTTTGGATTGGTAAGAAGGTTTTTTTTTTTGTTGAGAAAAGTATCTTATGCTCATAAAGTCTGCATTTATTTGATCACAAAATACAGTGAAAACCGTTATATTGTGAAATATTACAATTTAATATGCATGCTTTCTATTGTAATATATTTTACAATATAATTTATTCCTGTGACGTCAAAGCTGAATTTTTTTTTTCAGGACTGCAAGTTCAAAAGAACATCATATTTTTGAAATATAATTCTTTTGTAATATTATAAATGTCTTTATTTTCACGTTTTATCAATTTAATGTGCCCTTGTAAATAAAAGTATTATTTCCTTAAAACATACTGACCCTAACCTTTTGAAAGGTATTGTATGAGCTCCTTCAAAACTAACCATGTTTTTCTTGCATTATACCTCAATAAATGCAGGAAAATGCAACAAAATTTAACATAATATTTGGAAATAATATTTTATTATAATATTTACAAAATCGGTTTATCGGGTTTATGTAAAAGTCTTTAAAGGGGGTCTTTTTTTAATTAGTTTCATTTGTCATTAACCTCTTTTTTTTAAATATTTATTAATTTTTTGCTTGTCACAGTTTGATGAATGCATGTTTAGCCATCTGCTCACCCTGGACCTCACCCCATACCCACTCAATGATGAGAACGCCACAGACCGAGAGAAGGACAAATGATGGGTTGATGGCAGATAGTGAAGGATAAAATGTTCATTGTTAAAGAAAAACCAGTTGAAAGTGTCTAAACGATTGAATGTTGAACTGTTAAATTGAACTGCCTAAAGATTTAATCATTTAACAGGTTTGAGCTGTTTTTTTTTTTTTTTTTTTTTTTTTTTTTTTTTGCATTTTTATTTTTTAGGGGGAAACTTTGAAAATATTTTTGAAAAAAAATTTTTTTTCAGTGTATACAAGCAGTATGCAAATTTTCCATTCAAACAACCCAAAACATTTGGACTTTATTTGACCCCAGAACTATTGTCTTGGATTGAATTCCATGTTTAAGAGGTTGTTGTGTGATGCAACTTTAAAAGTGTTTTATGTGTTATTGTTAAATGCCAGTTTGCATTTGTTCAACGTGGAAAGTAATTAAAAAATTTTTTATTGTTTGCATTTGTGAGGACTTTTTTTTTTTTTGCTAGTAGTTGTGCAAACTGTACAATTTGACCTGTCTCTCTGTCACAAGGGTGGGGTTTCAGCAAAACATCCGCCTCTGTTATTCTATTCTCTCTTTGTCCCTGCTTCTCTTCTCATCTCCTCAAATATAAAGCTTTGCTTTCCTTAGCAACTCTAATGGCATCTTACACAGTGGTCATTGTCCCTCTCAGGAGCAGTCCTAACAGTCTGGATGCATTGCAGTTCTTCCTCTGGGTTAGTTTGCTTTTTCTTGTATGTTTTCTTATTTGTAATGTTTTTTCTATGTATGCTTTTAGATGAAGTGATTCAAATATACTGTAACTGAAGTGACTATAGTATTATTAGATGAACTAAACGCATTCACATTGTTTAGAATAGGTGACAAGCATACATTCAGTCATGTAATGTATGTACTGCAGTTTTTATGGTATATTAAGTTGGTAATCTGTCATTTTAAAACTAGATGTAAATTTGCATCAGTATTTCTTTCAAACCAACAATCCTCATATTCACAGATGTCAACTATCACAGTTCATCATGACATTCCTGTCCAGCTCTGAGGGGAATATTCAAAGTTCACAGCTACTTAACACACACATTGTGATCTATTTTTATTTTGTTTACTCTGCACAAAGCAATTGTGAGAACTTTATTTTGTTTTTGTTTTTTTGAAGCAACTATGGAAACAAACGCTAATATTGTCGCTGACAATCATGCAAAAATACAACTCCAAATATATTTTTTTGTAACATTTTCAAATGTAAGAGCATGCGTTTTATTTGCAGGTGAAGAAGATGAAGGACTTGGAGAGGGAAAAGGACTTTTTGTGGATTGGATTGCAGGCTTTAGAGCAGGTGCGAGAGAAGTTATGCTCCAACCTAGAAGACAACATGGAAGTGCAAGACCAATTCAAGAAAGGAGAGACGAGAAAAGTGATATATATATATTTTTTGGTATCAACATGTTTATACCTCCTTGTGTTTAATATATTTTCTATTCATCAGGTGTTTCCAGACCCCCCCACCCTACTGTTGGCTCAGATTCACAGAGTGAACAGGACCTTGAGGAATCTACTGTGTGACTCCAGGAATCCCACTGATCCTGCAATAGAAGGTCATTCTTTTAACAATGTGCATCAAATTCCTGTAAAAGCATTGTTAACTCTTCATTGTCACTTTTATGTGCCAGAACTATTGAGTTCAATGTATTGAAAGCAGTTTACCTTTTTGTTAGGTACTGAAGGACACCTGCCCTCTCCTACCTGTTCAGAAGAAAGTGCTTGTTTTTGATCAGCTGTTTGTTTTGAAGTTCTGTACTGCATTTTCCTGTATTTTGTGCTTGCAGAATGTATTCGGAGTGGATTGAAATCATTTTCTGTGCGAAAACTTGATTAGATTTCCAAAACGTATGGCATCCAACTCGCACACTGCTTTGAATGTTTTATTCAAGAATTCAATGCACTCGACTCGACCTTCCATTTCCATTGACCTTCCAGGAATGAATGTACTGAAGGTACATTAACTGCCGTCTGCCATTTAGTTTCTGATACTATTGGATTAAAAATGCAAAACACTTATTTTTGTAATGATAACTTGATACATGCAATGAAATGAGATCATGTGACAACACAAGCATTTTTTCTTTTTATACTTCACATACACTGGCTGCCAAAAGTTTGCAGTAATATTTTAGGTTAATTTTAAAAGGCTTAAAATGAAGGAATTAATATCGTTCACAAGGGTGTACTGAATTAATCAAAAGTGACCGCAAAGACATTTGTAACAAAAGAATAAATAAAAATTCCAATAAATGCTGTTCTTAAGAAATTTGTTCATTAAATAATCCTGGAAAAATAAATCACTGTTTTCAACATTGACAATGATAAGAAACATTATTAATATTCGAGCACCACCAATAATAATAAAGTACCAAATCAGCATATAAGAATGAATTCTGAACGATCATGTGACACTAAAGACTGGAGTAATGGCTGCTGAAAATTCCGCTTTGCCATCACAGGAATAAAATTACATTTTAAAATATATTTAAATAGAAAAGTGATTTTAAATTGTAATATTTCACAATAATTTCTGTAGGATTACTTTTGATTACATTAATGCAGCCTCGAATAAAAAATTTTAATTCTAAAGTTTTGGTCAGTGTATATATATATTTTACCATTTTTGTATGTATTAATACATATTTAAATCGGTAGTTTTTTTTTTTCGTATTTGGAATTGATGAGCAAAAAAAAAGTAATGTAAAAAGTATTAAATTCGAAAGCTATCAGTGAAAGTAGCAGAACAGAACTATTTTTGTTTAGAGCCTTAATATGCATAGAACGAACATTCCACAGTACAGTGTCAAGCGAGCTAAACTAATCTACATTAATTGGGTTCGCGCTCACATATTAGATACTGTTCTATTGCTCATTCAGCAGTTATTACATAGAGTTATCCAAGTGAACAGCGATTATGGGAAGTAAGAGAAAACTAAGTTCTCGCAGCGCTCCGGTGTATAACTTCCATCAAAGTACACCCCCAACATCCAGCACTGACGCGGAGTACCACCGTCAGCTCGTTAATGCTGGTGAGGGAAATGAAAGAGGATGAGGAAGGAGAGTTTTGAGAAGCAGGTGGAGGACCAGGCCACATTCAGTGGTCTTGAAGTCCTCTCTCCTGCAAATCAGCAGCAGGTTCAAACCCCTCCATCCGAAGTCCACCAAAGTCCTGTCAGTCCAGCTTCAACTGACAACAGCGAAGTGGACATGACAGTTGATGGTGCGTTTACTGCCATAACCCCAAACATTTATGACATGAAATTTCATGTCAACTACAATTATTTTTCTTTTAACAGACTACATTTTGAGCCGGTATTAGGTCGGTAGATTGCTCGGTGAGTGAAGATACGGCGCTGTCTATGAAGGGAGACGCTTGGAGGATGGCTTTGGGGTATCATTATTATTTTCCTTACTATATTTAGCTTGCAAATTGTTAAATTTCCCTTATACATAAATACTAATTGTTTTATTATAATAATAATACTAATAATAATCATCTCACTCCAGTTATTTTGTCATTATGTCCATTATTTTGGCCTAGTGTACTTGACATGTTTAAAATGTGATTGTGATCATGTTTTGTTCATCAGGTGGCAGTGAAATTTTACAGAAAGCCAAAGAAAATGGAATACATCCACATTGTAAGTAGATACATCAACATTCCGTTTTAAATGTAAAACATGTAAACAGTTTGTCCAGGACTGGACTAACTTTTGTTTGGGAAAGCACCTCCATCTAACCATGATCTTTTAAATGATCTTTCTTCTAGCCTGGTCATTCCGCACCCTTTCCTTTAGAGGTCGGCTTGTTACTTCTTGCTAATAAGGGTCCCGACGTTCCACAGATCATTCGTCTGCTGGACTGGCAGGACCAGCTTGACCACTACATTATGGTCCTGGAACGTCCTTCACCCTGTGAAGATCTGGTGTACTTTTTGGAGCATCATGAAAAAACTCTCAGTAAGGACATGGCACAGTTTGTCATGCTGCAGACAACACGCGCCGCTCAAATGTGCTGTCGCCGTGGAGTGTTTCACTGAGACATCAAGCTGGACAACCTGCTGATAAACCCAGAAACACTTGAAGTCAAGCTGATCGACTTCGGGTGTGGGGATCTGCTGAGAGAATGTGGATATGATAGATTCTGTGGTATGTATTATGCATCAAACCTGTAGTTTAAGATTCTAGTGATTAGTTAAACCATATTCGACTGTTTTGAAGCTCACATATCAAACGAAATGTCTTTCCTTCAGGCACAGCAGAGTATTTCCCCCTTGAATACAACATGGAGGGCAGGTACCACGGGAAACCTGCTACTGTATGGTCACTGGGAGTGCTCCTGTTCGTAATGGTGTGTGGACGCTTCCCAGAAACCAATGACCTGCAGATGATTGAATACGATATCTGGTCAGAGCCTGGCTTGTCAGATGGTAAGATGGCATTCATCACAACCAAGAAGACCAATTGTAACTCTTAAGTCATACAGAATAGATCAAAGACAAAAGACGAGAAAGTGGCTGGAGTTTTTCTGGAATTTCTGACCTTACAGTTTAGAACAGTCACATCTTATAAAGACAAAGACAGCAGGTATTAAGTTCAAAGTTATAACCTAACTCTCCCATCTCCCCCTCTCTCCCATTGTTTTGGACAGATTTTTGCCACCTGATTCGCTCCCTATCATATCAGTAACAAGTGATATATTCACCTTTTTATGGTGTATATGTTATCTTGTTTGTATATGTTTGTTTATTGTGACATGGAAAGAAATCAGAAATCATGTATGTGGATGATTTTTTTTGTGCAGCCTGCCAGTGTTAGGGAGGGAAGTGATAGTCAGGAGAGAAAGAGCAGGAAGAGTAGTTTTGACAAGAAAGGCAGCTCAGGTCAGGCACAGCAGATGCAGGACCAAAATACTGCACCAGAACATGAGAGAAGCACTGATGGTAAATCATTCAAATCTACAGCTCTGTGCATCAAGAACTCTACAGGATTTTCACCTAAATATGGTTTTCCATAATAAGGATTTTAAGTAAAAATTCACACCATCACACATTATATCCAAATCCAATTGAAGTTGGATTAAGACTGTGAACTGATCCCATCCCCCCCCCCGTTTTTTTTAACACAGATGAAACCAAGTGGACAATTGTTGCCACCAGCCAGAAGAGAAAACGGAATTCATACAGCGCTCAGGTGTACAACCTCTATGAAAGTACATCTTCAACATCTAGCAGCAGCGCAGCAGAGTACCTTCAGTCCACTAGTGATGATGAGGAAGATGAGGGGCCAGAAAGAAAGATGAAGAGGACGGATAGTGTTGAGCAGGAGTCCCCTTTGTATTTCTTTGACCGGAAAGGCAGCCCAGGTCAAGGTCAGACTCAGCAGGTGCAGGAGCAGGCTGATGTCCCGTTATACAGAAGTCCCGTTATAAAGGTAAATCAAATACCCTTGTTGAGAATAAGCCTAACCCTAATCAAAAATGCCCCTAACTGAAGAATCATTTGATATTTCCCGCTTTAGAGCAAAGTCTTCTGCAGGACATTAACTGTGCTGTAGCAGATGGTGGTCGTCAGGAGCCTCCTTCCAGTCAACCTGAAAATCAGCAGAACATTTTGAGCCGGTATAAAGTTGGCCAAATGCTCTGTGAAGGAGGATTCGGCACCGTCTATGAAGGGAAGCGCTTGGAGAACGGCCTTGAGGTATTGTGATTTTATAGCGTATATTTAGCTAGCAAATTGCTTTATCTCACTCTGTCCATTTCAAGTCCTCTTGGTTTATTTTATGTCCACTATTTAAATCATACACTAAATCATACAAAACATCTAAAAAAGTAACATCTGAGCCAAGTGTTGGAATTTTCCCAGAATTTCTGACCTTATAATTTAGAACAGTCAAATCTTTTCATCTTATTTAAAAGACAGCAGGTGCAAAATGAAAGATTAAAGATTATAACCTGACTCTCCCATCTCCCCCTTCCTGCAGATTGCTGCCATCTGATTCGGTACAGTCTTCCTTCAGCTGACGTCAGTGGCCATCCCTCCACACCTTAGCATTTTTTGGAGCTGGCAAGCCTTGGTGGCACCTAGACAGTCCAAAAAACACCCTGTCACCTGTCATCGTGGTCCCAGAATTTCCTCTCATGGCCGCCCAAGAGGTTCATGTGAAAGCTGTTGCTGCCACAGCCAGCCTAGAGATTCCTGTCTCGGCCTCTCCATTCCTCAGCTTAGCATCTGACAGACTGACATCAGTGGCCTTTACAAGCCTTAGCATCTTGCAAAGCTCCCAAGCCTTGGTAGTCTGGCGCCTTGGCTTGAGGCAGTATCATAACAGCATACTTTAACAATGTAGTTATTGTACAGTTGGTTCAATAGTTTATATGAATATGGTTATATATATATAATCGATACATAAAAAAACTATTGTGCCATGATTACAAGTGATTTTTATATATCACAACAACATAGTTTAAAAGCATAGTTTATATTATATCACTACAGCATACAGTATTTATTTATATAACATTACGGCATACAGTAGTTTACAGCATAGTTTAACAATGTACAATTTGTACCATTTAAAATAATATCACTCAGAAATATGGCACAATTCATGTATTTTATTTTATGGATTGTATTTAATGTGTTGAATAAAATTGAAAATTGTTGCGCGAGAGGTTGTCACAGTTCATATAATGTTCCTCATTTATCAGATGAAATATGTAATATATATTAAATGTAATATAATTTAGATAATTGAGGAAATTTGATTAGATTTATTTATTTATTTTTGGTAATTTACTTAGTCCTCTTAGTGGGCTTGGCCACCCAGTGGAACGTAAAAGATTAAAAAATACACAATAGTAAATGTTCCATTCATAAATTAAATGTTATGTTCTTTTCATAAGATATTTTTCAGTGTGTCAAGTTTAATATAATTTATTTAAAAGCTTTTGTGACCGGCTAACTGGCTCGAGGCTTTTATTTTGAAGAGTAGTTGCATTGTGTTCGTCTTGGCGCTGAGTTCAAGCTTCGGTTACAGTGTACAGTACGCAGACGAAAGGACGCGCGTTCAGAATGAAATCAGACTGATTGTAGGAGAGTCATGTTGAGGAGAGCGAGCAGCTCGGTGGGGTTTGATGAATTCGGTTTTGCTCTCGGCAAGAAAAGGGACAGAAAACTCCAACACAGATGTCACGACTACAGGTAGATGTTTACTAAGATACTAAGAGTAGTTTAGAATTCAGTTCGTTTTCATAACTCGAGATATAATACTTCGTAGATAAGTTCACATGAATGAACGCTGTAAGTTATGTTGTGATGCGCACTTGGCAAGTAACACGTTAGCTGTGTTTCCCTCAGTTATCCTCAGCCTAATCCAGTTAAAGTGAAGGAACTGTGTGAATTCCTCAGTTACTGGAATGGAGCCAGTTTTATCTGCAGAAATCAGGTGTGTGCATGTTTCTCTATATAGCTCTGTTACATTTGCCAATGGTTGAGCACCGTTCAGAATTGAGAATCCATTTAAATTCACAGAAATGTATTTATCAGTTGTAAGTGTAATCTTTAATCACCTGTCTTTAGAGAAATGCATCTACTATATTCTTCATGTAAGAATTCATGATTTATAGCAAAACTTATGTTGGGCAAATTACATTCTTCTGTTGAATTTATTAAATGAACTTCCTGTCATTCCAAACCCAATTTCAACTCATCAAAAAAATCAGAGACAATTTTTAAATTATGAATTTTGCCCCACACTGCATTTAAAATGGTTTACATAATATTTTAACGCATTTAGTACTTTTTAGTTTCATTTTTCTCCATTTCAGATCGAGAAGTTTATTCGTATTGGTATTCCTCCAGCAATACGTGGACGAGTTTGGAAATGCCTCCTAAATATCGACAGTATCAGAGCTGCCAGCTCTTTTGATTATGAGGTGCAACCCCGTCAAAATATATTTTTATTATTATGCAGACTTGAAGTGTGATGCTTTGAAAGACATTTGCCTTGTTTTTGACCCATTTTGGTTGTTTACTTCAGGCATGTCAGGCTGAGATCCGTAAACCTCTGGTTGATCTTGGAGTCAGTGAGTACAGTATCATCCCTACTATAGACTCTCTAGTGGACACCGAGAATGAGATCAGCAGCGGACAGGCTTCGGATCTCCTCAGCGCTGACCTAACGCTCTTCAAACAGATCGCCCTCGACCTGCGTGAGTTGTGCCTTTGGATGACCACTGAAATTGCATGATGCTTTCCATACATTCGTTTGAACTATTTTGTTTACATTCATTTGAATATTTTTATATGAATTAATTAAAAGAATGCTATAACTTAGGAATAATAAAAGTTTGAAATACTATTTAATAATGTTTTTGAGTCTTTTAGGTTCACCACGGCTGCATTTATTTGATAAAAAATACAGTAAAATCTGTAATATTGTGACTTATTATTGAAATTTAAAATAACTGTAAAATAACTTCTATTTTAATATATTTTAAAGTGTAATTTATTCCTCTGATGGCAAAGCTGAATTTTCAGCAGCCATTACTCCAGTCTTTAATCACATAAAATCATTCTAAAATGCTCATTTAGTGCTCCATTATTATCAAATTTTGGTACTCGGTTATTAGTGAGTTTTGTTATTATCAATATAAAAAAGCAGTTTTTGCTTATTACCATTCTTTTTTTTTTTTAGGATTTTTGATGAAAAGAAGGTACAGAAGTACTATATAGATAGTTTATATACAGTCAAACCAAAATGTATTCAGACACCTTCAACATTTCACACATTATCACAGTTTATTCGCATATAGTTTAGAAAATGGTAATAAAATATGACAAGAACTCAGAGTTAAACTGTGTCGGAACAAATTCATCTTGATAATGTCAGATAACACTTAAGCAAAACATTTGAATAATTTTTGGTCCCAAATATTTATCAATTTTACTGGTAGTCCACTGTATGAAGAATTTTTGGGTATAATATGTCACGGTTTACTTTATTTTTGCTATCCTCACTTACATAAATGAACTTTAGTGTCCTACTCCCTCCCACTAGTAAAAAAAAAAAAAAAAGAAAAATTATATCTGGTGTCTGAATAATTTTTGGTTTTACTGTATGCAGTACATTTTGGCAAGTAATTTATAAAATGTTAATAATTAAAATGTTTGTATATATTTTTTTATGTTTTTCTTTTTCTGCTAAAAACTGTGGTTGACAGCCTCATTTTTGAAAGAATGAGACTTTCAGGAGGAAGCAGTAATTTGGAACAGATGGCAGTGTTTTTGTTTGAACTTGGCCAATATTCTGAAAACCACATGGGGGCGCTGCATAAACACACTTTCCCTTTACACTTAACACATGTACTTTACATTAATGCATATGGCCAACACTTTCACCCATAGTGCACCAAGGCATTGGGAATCAAATCTATATCGTTGGTGTTGCTGGCACCATGCTCTACCTTTTGAGCTACAAAAGCCTGAAATACTTCTGTACAGACTACTTCATGTTATTACTAACCTTAACATTTGCCTTTTTGTATGTGATCTTTCTAGAACGTTTTGTATATAGAGTTTTAAATGTTTTGGCAGTTCGGTTGATATTTCCTTATTTGTCTGTATAGGAAGGTCGTTTCCCACCCATCGCACTCTGATGGGGGACCGTCCGGAGGCTATTGAGGGCCAGGCCAAACTTTTCAGAGTTCTTACCGCATTTGCCCGATATAATCCCCAGATTGGATACGTACAAGGTAATGAACTGCCTGTATTTCCACAAATGAGGTCACTGGCATTACTGAAATCTTGAACTTTGCGCCTGTGCTTTTACTGGTCCTGTCAAACATTTTTAAAGGGGTCATATGATGCGATTTCATTTTTTCCTTTCTCTTTAGAGTGTTACAAGCTCTTGGTGCATAAAGAAGATCTGTAAAGTTGCAAAGACTAAAGTCTCAAATCCAAAGAGATATTCTTTATAAAAGTTAAGAGTTAGCCACACCTACCTAACAATAATGTACAGTATGTGGAAAATAATGTGTTTTTTTAACTTTAAACCGCATAAACACATTTCATTACACCAAATACACAAAATAATGTTCTTTTTAGCAGCATCATATGACCCCTTTAAGTTCAGTAAATACTGAGGTTTGGCCTCAAGAGGGCAGTCAAGTGCCATCTTCTTGTTATTGCATGTCATGGTCATAATTTTGTTTTCTTTTTTTCTGTGGAGCTAATTTAGTTAGTTTGCCCTTGACATTCTGGCTATAATGGGACTATGTGATGCCTCAAGGTTTGTTTTTCTGCTCAGGGATGTCCTATATAGCTGCTGTGCTCCTGATGATCCTGTCTGAGGAAGAGGCTTTCTGGGCTCTGGTTGCTCTGTTAGAGAAGCCCAAGTATCTCTCAGAGCTCTTTGATTCTTCTGTGAAGAAGTAAGACCTTCGGCTGTGCATAAAATAGATAAATAAACGCATATATTTTTACAAAAGTTTACTCAAGTTACACTGAAAACATCTGCTGACAGAGCTGTTGAAAGATTTTGGAAATATAACACACATCAGCCAAGTTAATATATGTTTTTTGCAAATGACAGTAATTGAAAATAAGCTACACATTGGTTGGTTAATCAGCTTTTTATCTATTTTAATAATTAATTTTATTTTCAGGATTCAGCATCAAGCTTTGATTTTTCACCAGCTTCTGAAGCACAGGAAACCTCTGCTCTTCCAGCACTTGGTGAGAATTATGGTCTAAATTTCTCTCAATGAAAAAAAAATCTCGCTCAATAAATAAAATAAATAAAAAACAATTAAAATTAAAAATCACTCTAAAAATGCTAATGAATATATTATTACATATTTATTGATATTTTTTCTGTCTATGAAATACAGATGAAATTAAGCTCTGAAATTTGCCTCTGTTAAAAATTATATATATACATATTGTACATACATATATGTGTATATACACGCACAGAGCTGGGTAGTAACTGATTACATGTAATCTGGATTACGTAATCAGATTCCAAAAATCAAGTACTGACATGAAATATTTACTTGAAATATATCTGAGGAATAGTTCTATAATTTAACAACACATTCGCATGTTTAGTTCGATGTCGCTTAATGGTCACAATGAAATAAAACAAATATGTTTATATGTAAAATAAAATATTTCTATTTTTGGTGTTCAAGTGTTTAAATAATTTATTTAACATTTTTATGATTTAATTAATTATTAGCTTTTTTATCAACTCACAAACACAATCCAGTTTGGGAAACTCTAATTTAATGTAATGTTTAATGCATTTTATGTTGATATCAAAAAATAAAATATATATTACTTTCTCTTTTTTTTTTTTATATCAAAATGGTATTTTTAATGGTAAGTTTAAAACAAGTTAGTTAAAACGTATTTTAAAAGTAATCTAAAACAGTCAGAATACATTGCCTAAAATGAGTAACCTAGATTACATTACTAACTACAGTTTTCATAATGTGATCAGTAATGGATTACACACACACACACTGTATATATATATATATCAATTAAATGTCCCATTATCAATTATATTGATCAATTAAATATTACTTTTTTGCTTTAATGACAGCAGCTCTTAGTTGTCCTCTCACATCTAAAACAGGATCAGCATCCCAACAAACTTTCATAACAGCAGAACCATCTCTTTCCTTTGCACTTGCTCTGAAACAGACCTACTAAACTAAGTAAAACCAGGCTGCATTACACACAGTGGTTTAAATGTCTCAGTCCTCAGAGTTTATGTAGATCACAGCCTTTCTCCTGAGAAGCCTCTCACATTTAACGCCCTCATAGGTTTGTCACTGTGTCATGTAGACCTTTTCCTGAGGGCATTCAAATGAGCTCTTCTGGTTGTGTTTTTTTTTATAATGGTGACTATCCGCCCCCTTGGAGCATTTGTGCAGCTTGCAGAACTCTTAAGGGATCTCCTTCCCATTGTGTGTTGACTCAGCGCAGCTGTCTGAAAAGCTGAGCTATTAGACCACAGCATAGGAGAAAAGATGTCGCCGTTAACTCACAAAGAGGGCAAAGTGCAGCGACATAACTAAAACTTAATGGAATGGACGTTCTAATTAAAAATTTGTTATTTAATCACCCTCATGATGTAACAAACCTAAATGGCTTTCTTTCTAGTGTGGAACACAAAAAGGGAGAAGTTTAGCAAAATATGCCAGTCGCTCTTTTCCATTAAATTACAATGTGAGACAGGAGCTTTCAAGCTTGAAAAATATTTATTAATTTATTTATTTTTGTTTGTTTGTTTGTGTGTGAGAAATATGACCTGTTCATACAAATGTGGCATGAATGTCAGATGTTGACAGGAGTGTGTTGTTGTCTCTCTGCTGGTAGGAGACTCTTGGGGTATCTTCTCTGCATTTCATCATGCAGTGGTTTCTCACTCTCTTCACCTCGCTGCCATGCTGGGACTCAGTATTGGCCATTTGGGATCTTATCATGCTGCATGGTATTACACCCCTTTATCCTGTTTGCTCTAGAATAATAACACCTCTAGTGTCAAGCTGCCATGTTTGTAGATCAAAGGTGAAATGTCATTTCTGTGCCTTAAGCGTCACTAAACAGAATAGAAAATTATTGTATTCAAACAGGTTTCCTGAACCTGATCTGATCAGTTCTTTACATTCTTACAGGTCTGCAGGCTGTATTTCGCACCGGCCTCACCATCATCCTGCTGCTCGAGTCTCGTATCATGAACATGAGTGAGGAGGCCACAGTACTGCCCGTTCTGCTGCGAGTGCCTGTGGATGTGTGAGTGCACTGAAGTACAGGATAAAAATGGATACTCGTTTTGAGATGTGCTAAAAATCACATTTAAAGTGGTCATATGATGCGATTTCAAGTTTCCTTTCTCTTTGTGTTACAAGCTGTTTGATCCCTAAAGTTGCAAAGACTAAAGTCTCAAACCCAAATAGATATTCTTTATAAAAGTTAAGACTGGTCCACGCCCTCCTAAAACGGTTCGTTTAAACACGCCCCTACATGTTTACGTCACTGTGTGGGAAGATTTGCATAATACCGCTCAAATGTTAATGCAAAGAAAGAAGGCGTAACTTTGATTCTCACTGTTGCCGCCACCGCCATGTCGTGAAGACGCTGTGTTTCGTTGTGAAAGCGAAACTACTTTGTTTGGTCTTCCAAAAGAGGACCCAACTAATAATCAGTGGTTAAGTTGTATTTACAACACTGTTCCAGAACAGTTTAACCCATTTATTTGTGTGTGTGCAACGCATTTTACGGAGGACGAGGACTGTTTCCTGGGAGAGTAGCCTACAATGCCGGTGTTCTGACAAATAATGCTGACTCACAGACTGTAAGTATGTTTTCATATTTAAAGAATTTGCCACTGATCACACGCTTGCGGTATTCGGCCAATCACAACGCACTGGATAGCTGGCCAATCAGCGTACACCTCGCTTTTCAGACCGATGAGCTTTGTAAAAATCGACGCGTTTCAGAAAGGCGGGGCATAGAGGAGAAACAATAATGTACAGTATGTGGAAAATAATGTGTTTTTTGAACCTTAAACCGCATAAACACATTTCATTACACTAAATACACAAAATAATGTTATTTTTTAGCAGCATCATATGACCCCTTTAAGACTTTTATTAAATTGCACTAAATCGAGTTTTGCATGCTTAAATCAAGCAAAACATGTTATGTACAGTATAAAAATTAAGAATCAATTAAAACTTTTAAAACATATGCAAGTATGATAGATAAATAAATAAATAAGGCCCAATTTGATCTGCTTTTAAAACAGATATTATACAAATATTTTAACTGCTATTTCTTTTCCCAAAATGGTCACCAATATATCAAGTGAAGCCAAGCATATTCATTTTAATGTCTCCCTCATCATAACAGTGGAAGAAACAAGACCTGGTCTAGCAGTTCTAGGAATTATATATTACGTTTATAAAAAGTAACACTTGTTTACTGAGGTGTTAAAAAAAAAAAAAAAAAAAAGCAATTAGGTTTAATGATGACGTACACTTCAGACAGAAATCGGTGGCACTCATTTCATACTCTGTCTGGATATGTTTATTTGTTGATGTCACAGTCACCATGGCAATGTGGCCATGAGTACCACTTTCATTAGTACAGCAGAACTCAAAGACATGAAGCCAGGCCATATTGTTAAGCTGTTAAGTTGTTTCTATGGCCGCCATTTATTCAGTAGTGTGTGTTGTCTTGGCAACAGGGTCATGCCAATCCAAAGAATCCTTTGTCATGTGATCCGGAATTCTTTTATATGCATGTGCAAATAAAACTCACCGTTCTGAATAGATCTTCGATTAACATTTAAAAACGATATTTGTTGTGGCTTGGTGAAAAAACATCCATGCCCATGTGAAGCCCATGCACTTTGTTAGCCACTTTACAGGATTATAAGGGCAAATGAAGCCATTTGCCAGTTTCAAAGGGGATATTTGGTATTGACATGCAGATGGCAGTCAGCACAAAGCTCCTACACATCAGGGAATGGGTTCACGTTGCTCGCCTGGCACGACGTCAGTGCCGACAAGGTCAAGCCTAAATGCTCCTCTCTGATTCAGAGTATCAGAGTTTTGCTGGGCAGAGAACTGAGCCATCTGAGAACGAAGCTTGCGCCTCGCTTAGGAGGCTAAAGAGGGAAACAGAAAGAAGAAAAAAGTGAAAAGAGAAGAAACAAGTAGGTTTGCCCCAAAACTCCTAAAATCCCTGCAGAAACGGCCTAAGGTGGTTCAAACCAGTCTCTGAGTTCCCAATCAAACTGAGCTGGGAAAACCAGCTTAGTTGGCCTTTAAGAAGCTGGTTTAAACATTTTTTTTGAGCTATCATGACTGATTTTTACAGCATGTTATGTAATCATTAAATCAGGGAGACTCGGTTGACGTCACTGCTAGCTGGCCCTTTGGTATCCACGGTGATGCGGCTGTCCATCATCCATCACCGGAGACTGTGAAAAATGTCAGTTCTTCATAAAAGGGATTGGGGTGTCCTTGCACTCTTTTACAATACTGGCCCCATCCTTCCATTCAGTGCCGTTGACGTGTTGCCCACTGCAAAGTCTTGACAGTTCGTTTGTGTGCCGCTTTTTCCCTGACAAGGCCACTTCAGGGCTTATGTAACTCACTGTGACATTAAGCACAGGCAGACAAGGTTTACTTCTGCTAGGAGGGCTTCTTTCACAGGGATAGTGTTTGCTTTTAATAGCAAGGGAAACGAGTGTTGTTGTTTTTTTTAATCTGTGACGTTTTCATTTCTCGTTTGCTGTTTGATCCAAATTTTTTGTGTAAATCGAAAAAAACTGTCAGATTTAGAAACGTTGTAGATGTAGATGCATCAAAAACAACCTTCCTTTTTGGCTAACGCCACCTAGGACAGGGGTTTTCAAACTTTATGATGCCAAGGACCCTCTGATATGACAATGCCCTTGTGAAGGACCATATATGTTATATATGTTTTATATATAAAAATTCCGTTATACTGTGTAATTCAAAATTTAGGATTTTTTGACATTTTATATAACTATATATATTTTTTATAATTAAATAATAGTTTCCTAACTTAAGTGACTTATCTGGAAAGTCTTTAAATTGTATACATTATTATACACACACATACACACTTATAGTATTTACGTATTTAAAAAGTATTTATGATTATTTATAATTTATTTAAATATAAATAAATAAATAAATGAAATATGTATATTTATTATAATAAGTATCTATGTATAAATATTTATACAGTACATAAATAGATACTTATAATTAAATGCATAGATGTATTATATTTACATATTACAAATAATGCATAGCCTAAATGTTTTAGGTTTTTATAATAAATAAAAATTAAATATATAATAAATATAATACATATAAGAATGTTGTTATAAGTGTATTTTGTAAAGATAAAAATATTTACTATATTTATGAAGACAACAAGATTAAAATTTCACAAATATTTTGACTTTCACTTTGTCATTGTATTAAAGTAAATTGTTGAAATATTATCTGGAAAACATGTACTTAAATATTTGCTTTTTATAAAGTTGACAGTGTTTTGATTTCTAAACAGAATTACATAGTATAATATGAATTTTGATGATTGTAAAAAAAATGCATTAAACCTTTCATTCATATCTTAAGAGCACTGGATAACTTTGACAGCCTTAAAAATATATTATGTAAAATCGGAACCCTCTTGCGGCTTCCTGTGGGTTCCCGAAACCCAGTCTGAAAACTTCTGATGGGCCGTTGGTTAATATTAGGAATTTTTCCCCTAACAATGTAAATCAATGTGGAAAATGTAAAAAAGTAATTGTCTTAGTTTGACTGTGTTGTATTTGTATATGTGTGTCCAGCTCCCAGCATCGTGTCCTGATCCCAGCCCTCTGGAACACTGATGTTCAGGAATGGGAAATCAACTGCATGAACCGCCTAGTCTTGGAGGAGGCCGATGGCGGACAGGATGAAGGTAAACACATACCCACAATCCCACCATTAAACATCCAAGCATGCATTGACAGCTTACAACATTCAGTCGATTACAACAATGAATACGCTTGTTCTCCAAGCATAGTCCCATCCAAACATGTACTGACATTCCAGCCCCCCTTACATAAGACCTCCTTTTTTGTCCCGGTTGTTTGTTTAGTGTGCATATGAGCCCACCTTCAGTACAGTATGTTGTCCCATGTGCCTCAGCAGTCTACTGTGCTGTAAGCAAGACTCTGAGTTCAGGACTAAGGGTCAAGTGTAATGGGCTGACAGAGACACGAGATAGGGACAGACTGGTGACTCAATCTCTTCAGTCATCAGCTGTTAGGGGACCAATAACAGGGATGCCTTTGACTGGATGAGCCCGTAAGTGCTGGCTTTTAGGGAACAAAATGTCAGCTGCATCTCATGTTAGACCCAGGGGAGGACGCCATGCCCGGGTGTACAAAGCGCACTCTTAAGTGTGCTCAGGCTGGATGCTATCTTTGAGTTCAGTTACAACAGGCTAAAGTGAACAGACCTTGTGTACTAATGCAGGTTTCAGTGTTTTCACACACTAATGGTTTATAAGTATTACATTAATTTATATACATAAAAAAGTAAAGTATATAATTTTACCATGTCTCATTGTTCTACCGAGTATTGGAGTACTGTTGGGTCTATAAACCTAAAGAGAAACTATTTCAGTTCAAATTTATTCAACAAAATAATAATATAATATAAAACAATAAAATAATATAAATTCAGTGAATATGTGTTTTGTATGTATTTTATTTGAATTTATTTAAAGGTTTAGTTAATGATTTATTTTTTAAACAAATAATTGTGTGTTTTTTTTTATTAACCATTTATTTTGTTTAATAAATTTTATTTAATAATTTATTTTTTATTAAGTTTTTACTTGTTTAGTTTTTTCCCCTTTTTACATCTTATTTTGTTTATATCTTTTCACTCTTGCCATTTGGTTCTTGCTATATCAGATAACAATAGCATTTATATATATATATATCTCAAAGAAGTTAATTATATATATACATCAAAGAAGTTAATTATATATAAATTTACAGTGTCTCATTGTTCTACCCAGCACTTGAGTACTGTTAGGTCTATAAACATGAAGAGAAATTATTTCTGCTCAGATTTATAAAACATAAATAATGTAAATTCAGTGAAATATGCATTTTATTTATTTGTTTAATTTATTTTTATATACTTTACATTTAGTCATTTAGCAGACGCTTTTATCCAAAGCGACTTACAAATGAGGACAATAAAAGCAGTCAAAACTAACAAAAGAGCAACAATATATAAGTGCAAATGACAAGTCTCGGTTAGCCTAACGCAGTACACGTAGCAAGGTGTATATATATATATACAGTGGGTACGGAAAGTATTCAGACCCCCTTAAATTTTTCACTCTTTGTTATATTGCAGCCATACTTAAAATCAGGTACCTTTTACTTAAGTAATCTTCTCATATTTTCACTTTTTTTTTTACACAGTACTTTTACCTTAACTTATGAATTCATTTTACTTTGTCATCTAATCACTCTTACATAACTACTAACCCCAACTAAAATCACCACACTTGCCACTATCTTAGCCTGAGGTCTGCACACTCTCTATTCCCAATGAACACACCTCCATATTCTCCTGTTTTCCGCCCACACTGGGATCATCAGGTTTCTCTCTTGTTACCAACAGTGCCTGGCGTACTTTCGTTATCGCTCTGAGTGTCTTCATTTACAACTTCTGATTTATTTAAGTTCCTCTGGTGATTTACAGTAGCGTTAATGCAGGGTTGACAGAATCCCATTCGACGGGCACTTGTCTGTCTGGTGGCTGTGACTCATCGGCTTTTAATGACAGAGATATTCCCTGAGGTTGGCTGTGCATGCTGGAGCTGTATTTTGGGGGGCCCTGGTGTAATTGAAAGGCCCACCAGGGATTTTTACAGTATGAATCTGTCATCCAAAGCTCTGTGTGTCATTGTGAGTCATCCGGGGGGCTGTCAGCCCTCTCTGTCCACCTTTTAACAAGGTAATGAGAACTGACTCAGAGCCTTCACTCACTACACCTGAGCTTCCATGGAAGCCAGGTCTATTTGGGAAACATCTGGATGTCAGGAAACCACAGAACGACCACAGCTGACTTACTGTTGACTGAAGAGTTTTTTAGTGGTCTGTGTCTTTAAATAGATTGTATGTTTATTAGGTTTTTAGCACACCTGTCCATGACTTCATACCTGCCTGAACGTATTTTGGCGTTTGCTTTAAGCAACAAGGAGCATGAGTTCATTAGATTTGCTCTGATTTGATCGCTCTTTGTATTCTTATCAGCTTTTAATCATGTTATCAAATAATTTAACACTTTCTTTAATTAAGAAGTTTGGGGGTCAGTAAGATTTTATTTTTTAAGAAATTAATCCTTTTCTTTTCATCAAAATTCATTTGATCAAAAGTGACCGTAAAGACATTTATAATGTTTCAAAATATTTCTATTACAAATAAATACTGTTCTTTTGGTGATTCATCAAAGAATCTTGAAAAAAGTATCACGTTTCCACAAAAATATGAAGCAGCACAGTTGTTTTCAACATGGATAATAATAAGAAATGTTTCTTGAATAGCAAATCAGCATTTTAGAATGATTTCTGAAGGATCAGTGACACTGAAGACTGGAGTAATGATGTTGAAAATTCAGCTTTGTATCATGGGAATAAAATAGAAATAAATAGAATAGGAATAGAAATAAATGCAGCCATGGTGAACATAAGAGACTTATTTTAAAACATTAAAAAAAACGTTCAGACCCCAAACCTTTAACTGAAAGTGTACAATCAGAATTATTCTACTTTATTTTACTGAAAATCTCCCTGTAAAAGCGTGTAAATGGCTTTTACTCTTGTTCTAGCTAATAAAGTAGCTATTCTGTACTGCAGGTCTCTCTCAGAGGAACTTAAGTCTGGATCTCCGTTTGAAAGTCAAGCTTTATAGCTTACAAGAACAAATTAATTTGTCGTGAATATTGCAGCATAGCCATCACTGATGATTGCTGTTTAGGCTCCCATGGGGGTGTGTGGTACAGAAAAGGTGTTTGTTGCCCTGAGAGCAGGATTGTATTTTGCTTGTGAGTGTGTTGGCAGAATCCTGAGGTGTGCTGCTAGCTCAGCGCTGTGGTGCATCGCTCTGATTTTCCCTGCCGTCTGTGGTGTAGTGACTCAGCTGCTTTCTGCAGGTGCAATGAAATTCAAGATGTAAAATATTTACTAAAATGTACAATTTCATATATGCATTCCTATACACTTGTGTTTCAATGATAGGCGCCAGTAAGTTTTTTTGGAAAGAAATTAATGCCTTTATTCAGTACACATTTAAATTGATCAAAAGTGACAGTAATGTATTTTCACAAAAATATTAAGCAGCAAAACCTGGATTTCAACATGGATAATAAATGTTTCTTGAGCAGCAAATCAACATATACAAATTATTTCTGAAGGATCATATGACACTGGAGACTGGAGTAATTCAGCTTTGCATCACAGGAATAAATTACATTTTAAAATATATTCTAATAGAAAACAGTTATTTAAAGTTGTAATATTTCAAAACATTACAGTTTTTACTATATTTTTGATCAAATAAATATAGGCTTGGTGAGCATAAGAGAGTTTTTTCAAAAATACAAAAAATCTTACTGACCCCAAACTTTTGAATAGTACTGCATGTTTTAACTATAAATTGTTATATTATTATTAATTACTATATAATTGTTATATAAGTCCATAATGATGTTGATTTAAATTTCACAATTTTCACATTTCACATTTTTTGTTTATTTTGAGTTCATTCAGTGAATGATTCATTCAGACTGGTTTAGTATTGTAACTTGAGAGTGCATTTGTCTTTCTGAAAGAAGTTTTGGCAGCTTTGATTTATATGCTGTTTATTGTTGATGATCGCATTATTTTTTATATGTATCTGCATATGAGATGCATATGCTCGTTTCTGCATCTTCCTCGCCTGTGTTTTTGGTCGGGAGATTCTGGTCTCATTCAGAAGATGCGTAATAGCGTCCCCGAGCATATAACAGTGAAAACACGGTAAGCCGTAAAATCTCGTCTTTGGCGGTGAAGTGTTTTCTCATAAATGACGAGATAACTCGCCTTTAGTGGGGAAAGAGTTAAAAGAACAAATTCATCAGAATCATTTATTTGTGAATCAGACTACACAAGTCATGCAGACATGTTTTCTCGCTATTATTATCCAGTACTAGGGATGTAACGATTAACCGCGAGCCGGTTGAAAATCGATTTAAATATGTGACGATTCAAATCGGTTGAGATGCTAAACAAATCGCGATTCAATTAGGGGTAGGAGTTTATATGAATGTATGTCTGAGGGGAACTTGCTGTCTTTCGATGGTATTTTTTCTTTTCCTCTTGACTCTGTATAATGCATATCAGGGCTCCAGACTCATTCTTCCCACTGGTCGCTCTTTTGCAACTAACTTTCTCAGCTGGTCGCACGAGCACATGATTTGGTCGCAATATATATATA